GCCTTTGGCATCCCACCCCCCACCTTGAATATGGCCATAGTCTGTCTCACTCTTATTCTTTTCCACCACCAAGCAGAGTTCCCCATGCCCTCTCCCTCACCCATCCAATCTTCCCACCTTAGAGTCTAAGGGAAAACCTGACTGCGGCTCTCCGAGTTCTTGGGAAGCCCCGCCTACTGCTCTTGGGGTAAAGGTGACCTCACCAGGTGCAGCCCTGTGAAGTCGGCTTGGGGTCAGTCTCTTAAACATCTCTTGCTGCTTTCCCTCCTCTCTAGGCCGCAGCCTGGCAGGCCCTTTCATCCCCACACACCAAGCTCGCTCTTAGCTCGGGAGCCTTGTGTTTTGTTTGTTTGTTTGGGGGGAGGAAATTCCCTAAGGCCCCCGCCTCTTCATTTTGCTAGCTTATGCCACCTGCCCTCCCACTTGGGATGTGGGCATGAAAAGTAAGGAACTTTCCCCTGGCTGGCGAAGGTGAACTATGGGTGCCCACCAAGGGCCATTCCCGCTGAAGAGTCAGCATTCTTCTGACCCTAATGTAAAGGGGCCGTTAGAGAGGGTGAAGAGGGAGTCCTCAGTACAGCAATGGGTGGGAAGTTTGAAAAGGCCAAAGGCCAGCTGGTGTGGCCAGAGGATTGGCTGAGCCATCAGGCCAGAGGCAGGGAGACCAAAAGAGGGTGCGCCAGAGAGGAGAGGCGTCATTAATGGTAAGGGGGAGGTTCTCATGCGGGGAAGGCGGCAGGTGTCTGTCTTGGGCTTGCAATCTCAGGAGGCAGAGCTTCAGGTAGACATGGGATGACTCACCCCATTGGAGACATCCCAGCCGAGCATCGCCTTGGCTTTCCGCTCGGCCTCTTCAGTTCCATTGAGCACAAGGCCAAACCCCCCATTGATCACTTCACCCCTGCAAGAAGAGCAGATGGACACACAGCTGAGCACATGGACCATGTGGAGGTCCAGAGTGCCCTTGACCTTGGCCGCCTGGTGATCTCTATACATACTACTTCTGAATGTAGGAGATACGTGGGGTCTGGTGAATTGCTGGCCCACAGGCACTGCTGCACGTTCAATTCTCTGCCTACTTGCACGTTGAGTTTTCACACGAGCCGGCGTGAAACCTGCCTTGGGCCTCCTGAGTGCGACATGCGACCTATCCCTTTTCTCCTGGGTTCTCCGACTGCTTCCTTAGACCCTCCCTGAGATGTCTTGGACTACTGAACACCATAGTCATCGTTGTTATTTTGTTTTATTAATTTCATTATTTTTATCTCCTCTATTCCTTTTATCCTACTTCCTTAGCCATATTTCATGGTCTCTTAATGACTCGATTGGAAAGATGAATTCTTTTCTTTCCAATATTATTTTCTAATTAATGCGTTTGCTTATCTGAAGACCGTTTTGATGACATCTAATGGATTTGTTCTTGTTTTGACTCAGGTCCCAATGGGTATCATAGGAATCTTATTTCAATATGCTAATGCTATTTTACTTTCTGGGCATGGCTGCCCTGTGGCTTTTTGTCTATTTCTCTGGTATCCCACGTGCTGGGTAGTGCATCTTAAGATACGGCTTGGGGGGCACACCCCGATTCCTTTTACCACCAGCCCTGTGGTTCCGCCGGGGCAAGTCCCTGAACAGTATTAAAGCCACTCTCTTATTTTCTAATCAAGGGCTGAGATACAAAAATAAATAAAATCCACCAAAAACCCACCTCGGTCCTTTGGAGTCAGTTCCAACTCAGAACAATCTTAGAGCTCCGCCGACCCTCGATGCCAGATACCCAATAACCAGCCCCCCCTGCTCCCCACTAGCTTTCTCCAGCTTCCTGATCAGAAAGGACATGTGGGGGGGTGGGTCAGGTTTTCCACTCACGGAGGCCACCTGATGGAGCTGCAGCCCTGAATCCTGAGCCAGCCCACATGTGAAAGCTCTGGGGAGCTTGGCCGCTCACTTGGCTCTGAGGCCAAGGGACTGCATGATCTCGCCCCAAACAGGTGCCAAGGTCATTCAGAGACAGCCACTGGAGCAAGACGGGAACTGTCCTCCTCAATGTCACAGCAGCCCCAGTGCTCTTGGTAGCCAGTAGGGTGGCCCTCACAGGGCCAGCTCCTGAAGGATCGCAGGACTTGCGTTCAAGGGGAGCGGCTGTGTTGCAAATCCCATTCCCAGGGCTCTGGGGCTCTGTGACCTTGGGGAAAGCACTTGACTTTTCTGCATCTGCATTGCTTTATCTGGAAAAATTAATTATCTTCCTGAGATGGGGGATTCCAAGAGCACAACACGTTTGGCATGGAGCCAAACATGTCCATGTCCAGTTAAAACCAAACCAACCCTGTGTCCGTGAGTCAATTAGGGCTCCTGGCCATCCCGTCTGGTGCAGCGTGCAAGTGCCCCATCGGGTTTCCTTGGCTGGGGCCTTTGTACAAGCAGAGCACCTGGCTTTTCTTTGTGCTGCGGCTGAGGGGGATTCGAAGCTCCAAAAGGAGGACAAATCATTTGCCTCCCGGGGCCCTTGGGTCATTCAAAGAGTTAGATGCTCTACGTATGGTCAGTCAAGGTTATTTAGCAAATTGCAGTGTTGTTCCGAGCAGCGGAATCCTCCTGGTGGGACTGCAAATGCCAGCCGTGGTTTCCCAGAGCCTCCCCTAAGACGCCAGCCCCTCATTTTGCTGGACAGACACAGCTTGAAAGGGCAGAACAGGCATGAGTTGGGGACAGAGGGGAGGCCTGAGCCCGGGAACCCTGGCTCTTCGCTCGAGCTGCCAGGGAAATCCACTTTCTCCGGAGAAGCCATGAGGATGGAACAAAGGCCTCACTTGGAAAAGCAAGGGGGAAATTCTGGGAGGGAACATCTGCCAAGTACAGGAAAAGGGGGGTGGCAGCTCATGCTGAATGTCCTACAACAGACTTTAGGCTCCTAAGGCTGATGGACAAGACTGAACAGAGAGAGAGATTGGCTTGGTCAAGATCTCTCCCTGCACATCTCGCACTGATGTTGAATTCACCCGAGGAGCACCTTTACAGCAATGCCATTAGCAAAAGTGGTAGAGGCTGTGTGGTGGGAGTGGTAGGTCCCAGGATTTCTCCAGGTTGTGTGCAGCTCAGCTTCGACATCTGCCCATGCTCCGGATCTCCCAAACCATCTTACCAGCCCACGCCGCCTCCGTTATGAAGCGCTACCCAGGTGGCTCCTCGAAAGGCATCTCCCACGAAGTTCTGCACAGCCATGTCTGCAGACACAGAGGTCACCCCATTATTCCCTGAGCACAGGGTGGCATCACTCCAAAGGCTAGGGAAGCGCAGGCTTACTGATGCTTCCTCATTTGGGTTGAATGACTCCACAATGCCACATGTTTTTCACATCAAAAACAGGATGAGATTCTTGCGGAAGGTGTCACCAAGTATGAGTCCATTAGCACAAGTAAATCCATGCCTACCTTGCTTATTCGATCACCAGCCCCTTGCCTGGATGAGATGGTTCTGAAACCAGGTGGGGGAGCAAAAGTAGAGAGGGCTACACCAGAGGCACAGGGAACAGGGGTCCCCTTGTGTAAATGAGGGGGACTGGAGCTCAGAGAAACTCCTAGAAGCAGGCCTTCCGTCTCTCAATGAGACTTTAAAGCTATTTTTCTTCCAGATATTGCCTCAGAGACTGAGAACCAGCACTGTCTACTGGACGACCTCCCCAGAATCCCCGGACACCTGATGTCACTGGGTGGAACCGGAACATGCTTGGACTGAGATTCCCAGAATCCCACCCCCACCCGCCACCACCCTCGCCACACCAGAACCTTAAAATCGCCCCCACCCACCCCCACCACTGTCCCACATTTGTGTGAGCTGAGCCAATTTCGTTCTCTGACCTCCCTCGATGGCAGCGATTGAGTAGGCTTCTAGGTCACAGCAGGCTACCCTCTGGAAATGGTCACAAGATTCTCCAGCATTGCCTCTAGGCCTGACCAGAGCCATTCTCTCTCTTGGTAAAAGGCAAGAACCTGACTCTGGGAACAGACCTAAGAGGCAGCCGGACTTGGGCCAAGGGCAAAAGAGGGCCTCCACCAGCCCCACTAAGCCGTCACTGCTCAGACTCTGAAGAGCAGAACGACAGCTGTCAAGTAGGTGGTTGATGTGTGTTCCCAAGTCCCTCCTGTTACCCCACATGACAGAATATAACTGCCCCATAGGGTTTTGTAGGCTTCCATCTTTATGGGGGTTGAAAGCTTCTTCTGTATTACTGTGTGGACTAATTAGCTTTTATATTCCTTTGTGCTGTATAAATCTATATAGATATAGATATATTAAAAATCATAATGTCCGGTTTTGTTTCTGTAGAGAACCCTGCCTAACACACGCACACACACAAAGGATGAAATACTTTGGAATAAACTTAAACAGAGAAACACAAGACCTATACAAAGAAAATGACAGAACATTATTATAAGAAACCAAGAGACCTACACAAATAGAAGAATATCCCATATTCATGGATAGGAAGATAACATATTGTGAAAATGTCAATACTACCTAAAGCAACCTGTAAATACAATGCAATCCCGATCCCAATCCCAACTTCATTCCTTAAAAAAATGAGGGAAACTACCAACTTCCTACGGAGA